TTGGAAGTCTGGATACCGAATGAAGCAACGTCCTCCTTGCGTAGCTTAGAAACGCAACCCATACGCCCGCTGATGGATGTGGTACTGCCGGGATATACCCCAACCCCAACCTCGACCTCGAGCGGCAGTCAGGTGAGCGGCAGCTCATCGCGTCTGAAGGAGCTGAGCGAGAGATTGCGGCAGAGAAGTCGTGAAAGTTCGGCAAGGGCGGAGCTTCCTCCAACGTGGAGGGAACAGCCGGTCAGGAGCGTCATGATCTCGAGTTATAAGAAGAACACCGAAAAGAGGTACCACAGGCACAATCGGCTGGATTGGAATGCGGAACAGAAAGCCAGGAGGGACTGCTTTCATGATGCAGCCTGGGTGGAATATCTTGCGCCACCCCGTGTGCCAGAAGGCGCGGTCCACCTAATCATAGGGGACAGCCTAGTGCGGGTGTTGACCCGGATCCAATCGCACTGGCAGACAGGAATCTTGAGTTTCGCTGGAGCTGCCACGCCACAGATGTTGGCAACGCTTGAGATGCTAGGGATGACTAAAGTGTACACGGTGACCCTGATGATCGGGACGAATGATGTGTCAAGGGGAGAAGCGAGGAAAATAACGAGGCTGCACGACAAGATGAGCTGCCTTCTTGAGGAGCTGAGGATCCAGATGGACCCCATCCTGTTGACAGTATGTACTGTCCCTTATAACATGAAGTTCGATCAGCACGCCTTGGAAATGAACGAGAAGGTGCGGAACCTAAACAGGGTGATCCGAGAAATCCACCGGAAGAGTGTGCTCCCCGTCGGACTGTTGGACGTGGCGGAGCGCATGGAGCAAGCGGGATTCCCTGAGGACACCTCCAATGATGGAATCCACTTCGATAGACCGAGAGGAGCAGATTGGCTGAATGACGTCTTTCAAGGACACATAAATGCGCTAGAGGCGGATCTGCTAGAGACGACCCAATTCACCTTAGGGCCACCTCCGAACTCACCATTCCTTGCCTCGAGGGCCTTGTCTGGTCGCTTGGGACCGAGGGTCGACACTAGAGACAGCTCAAGGAGCAACCAGGCCAGATTGCCGAGTGCCACGCCAATGGAGTCTGAGGAGGTGACGTCATCAACGCCTCCAGGTTCGGCAATATCCTCAGTGGTAGTGGCAGAGAGCAAGCGGGTGGAGAGGCCTATGGAGACCGCTCGCTTGAGATATCCAGAGAAGGTGAAAGAGCTAGACCTAGAAGGTTTGGAATGCAGGCAAAAATTGGCGGAGACTCTGGGTATTGAACGAGTGTCGCACGAAGACTTGAGTGAAATCTGGGGAGAAGAGCTTTTGAAGTTGGAAAGTGAGAACACAAGCGATCACGAGAGACAAAACGTGATCGGAAAACCTGTGGGGGGTGCTCCAAACATGGAAGAGAACGACACGATGCATGAGAAAATGATGGAGTTTGAGCCTCTCTTGGAAGCCTCGGGGGAGCGTAATCTCAGAAGCATTGAGATCACCCATGGAGAATGCCCATGCCACTGTTTGGCACAAACGGTGTGGTATCCAGATCACAAGAACCTCTGCCTGGTGTGGGATATGGAAGAATTTCGGTCGATCGGATTACCGGATCACCGGCAGAAGGTGACGCTCTTAGTAGTGAGTACGATGCTAGCTCTGAGATGGATAGAAGAAAATATAACGAAGTATCGGGAAGTGAAGACGCCAACGGCTGAGTCAATATATGCGATAGACTAAAGCAGGAGACTCGAGTTGTTTGAGACTGCATGCAAAGTATTCGCCATGACAACGGAAGTCAGACACGTATGGAGCCGCTTGAGGTACTTTCCATGGTTTCGAGCGACACTGACGTCTTGGTTATACATGACAACGAAAGATCACATGAGAAAACATCAAAAGGAATATCGACAGTTCCAGGCCGAGATTGGGCCGGAAGCTTTCAAGAGACCCCTGTTAACCCATCGAAATGCGATCACGACAGGATGGAAGAGAGTGGGTAAAATGTCTAGAGACAATACCAAAGCGAGGGAGGAATCGATACTGGAGGAGGACTTGGCGAAGAACGTGAGCTTGAGCTTGCACAACTCCTTTTGTTTGAACCGGGAATCTAGGGTGAAGGCACTACCCAACCAGGCAAAGAGGTTGCAGGAGCAAAGGGAATGGATGCGATCCTATGAACAGCTGAAGGCTTGGGAGGAGATCGTGATTAGCTCCGATGATGAAGAAGAACTGTTGAGACAGTTTGCCGTGTCTAGTACTTCAGGGTGCGGCACCTCCAAGGCGAAGAGTGCGAAATGAGCGGATGGTTCGAATGGATCTTGAGTCTTGAGAGGGAAGGGGGGCTTGAGTGTGGATCCGGGTGAAACCTGGGTTCACGAAAAAGAAATTTTAACGAATCAGATATTGTTATTAATATGCTATATCTATTATATAAATCAAAATGCTGCATGACAATTTTCTAATTGAATGGGACAAAAGAAATTTTAAATAATTGGCTTGAAAAGCGAAAATTCAAGGGTGCAGGTGTGTGCAGATTTTGATTGCTGTTTAGCGATAGTGTGAAAATTTTACATGGCCGTGAGTTTTGGGGTGTAGATAAGCTTAAGTCTGCTGCAAACTTCTGTAAATGACCACTGGCACTGTACCTTGAGCAACACTCGGTTTTCTGGGACTCACTGGCAGACGACAGCACGCAATGAGGACATCGATCTTGAGTCCGGGGAGTATGTGCCAACCGGTCATACTTGGAAGTTTGACCTTGAGAAAAGCAAGAGCACTTAATTTTGGAGTGAAATTTAATTTTTCAAAAATTCGAATGGAGCCTGTCATGCACGATTTTCTCGCGATAACTGAAAACCGAAAAAGAGAAATCAGAACAATCGAGTAACAAACGCGGGAAAGTTGCTAGATAAAACAGTGCGAAATTGCTATTCGCAATTTCTGTCACAATAGAACAAGAGTAGAGCTGTCCCATCTGAAACAGAGACAAGCGTATTCCCGAGAACTGGACTATCATTACTCGATTGGATTGTTATTCGAATTGGACTAGAGTGAACCTTCGGTGGAAAGGTGGACAGCTTGAGTGTCCCAATGGTTCACGAGAAACTATATTCTAGAGTTAAAACTTGTGCTTGTTATTGAAACTGATAAACATTAAACTCATTTAGTTACATTATTTAATTCTCGAGTTGCTGACCGACTTAATTAATCCCAGTTCTTGAGCGTGCTACGATGTGAGTACTTAATTTAAAATTCTAGAGTGTGTTTTATGATTGTTATGTTGAGGTAAGGCGAGTTTTAGGTTGATCCATCTGAAATGGATCAAAGTGCCACTGTCTAATAAAAAGTAACTTAACGGATTGTTCCGACCCGGTTTTTAACGGCGTTCATGTATTTTGGGTATCTAGAGACCTAAGTATGGGGACGTTCTTATTTCTAGAGTGGGGGATATTTTGGTAGTAACCTTTAAGCTGTAACGGGTCGTAGTCTCATGTCACAAGCGAACCGAATTGGCTCCGACTGATTTGAGGTAGAAAAACACAAGAGATAGTGTCCCTGACTCTTGAGCCAATGGTTATAGGGCCTTTTTTTCTTAAGCCTCATGTGTGACTACAGTAGACGAATGTTACAACAACGAGTTACAGAGTAACAGAGAACACTCCGAGTTGCAACTATTGTGCCGCTACAATAGTTGCAAGGCCGTTGCGATCAACGGTGAAGGGTGAAAGACAGCCTTCCGGATTAAGAAGAAATCAGGATTAACAAGCTTGATCCAGCGGATTTGTCAATCCGGAGGGGTAAAGGGACTGAAACTTTTAGCCTGTTATATAGACTTTTAGCTTCTTGTCATGTCCTGATTTGAATTTAATTAACATCTAGATTCATTTTGATAAGGATGAGAAGCTAGGAGTTGGGGGAAAGGGTTGATCCATCTTCGATGGAGATGATGATTTGATCTACTAAACAAAAACAATAGTAATATAATAAATAGTGGTAGCCCTGTTTTTAGGAGTGACCTCGTGGTCTGGGGATACTGAGACCCAGCCATGAGCTCACTATTTCTGCATATATTTAAGTTAATTTGAGTGTTTTGACCGAAGCCGAAAGCAGTAACGTTTTGTCGACCCGATGTTAGAAAAGACCACCGAAAGTACTGGCTTGGTAGAGACGGTGAAAAGCATGCAAAGCTCTGTTTAGACGTTAGCCAGTCGTCTTAAGACTTAGTTTTGTTTTCCGTCGATATGTATCTTCCGGGCGAATGTTACAGAGCAACTTCATCTCAAGAGACGGAGGGGGATGTAGTTTAGAGAGGGCAACAACTGTATCGATGTCGTTTTGTTTTTGTTTAGGAAGAAGTCGTTTTATCGCGTCGATGATGAGAGGTTTCGTCTTCCGCAACTTTTCAAAAATGTGAGGGGTACCGTCTCGACGAATGTATATGATCGCAGCTATTTGATGCTGAAAATTCGTGATGATTTCAGTTAACTGCTCCGGGGATTTAAAGTTTTTGGGATGCTTTGTGATACTATTGTTAATCACGTCGTGCCAGAGAATGATTTCACTGTACTTTAGGGAACCGTTTATAAGTAACCGTTGCAAATTTTTTAAATTTACCCACGTTGTTTGGGTTGAGGCTTAGTCCCGATTTTGTAAAAGTGAATCTTCGATACTTTACCCTTAGATCGTAGGGTAGGTAGTCAAGGGTTCTTCTGAGGGAGCTTGCTCCAACTACAATCATGTGATCCACCAACCTGTGTCCACCCACTAGTGTCCACGAGCGGTAGCAGTGGCAAAACAATCCAGTCAAAGTAATTTGAAGTAATTGCAGGGGACCACCACGGCTGTCCCAGTATATCAACAATTTATCTGAAACTATTGAATAAGTTTATCAATAAACTTATTCTGTAATTATTGTATTGCAAATCGTTCGAAGCTCAGCATCGCCTGTGTCAGAAGGATGCAACCCATCTGTTTTGTCGGGGCTTAATCTCGGAATATCTTTCAGAGATGTGCGATGATAAGTGAAAGTTCATGTATTGCCATTTTGGACAGTGGGAGAGTAGCGAAAAGGCTGGGCCAAGAAAATGTCAACGGCAATGCGCTCGCATTTTCCTGTTCTCAACTTACTGCTAACCGTAGTTTTGTTTTCGCTATCGAAGAAAAGGAAAGCTGGGCAGATGGTTGCTTTGAATTTGGATTTATTGGGTGCCCTAGTGAAAAAGATCAGCAGGAAATTTCTGAGTGTTTTAACGAGTTGCCTAAATTGTATGTCTCAAAAAGAGACATTTACTCGAATTCAGTACTCATCAAACGTGATTACTTTCCCCAATCAGTAGATGAGATGGAAAATGGTGCTACACTTGGTTTGGTTATACGTGACGAGAAAACAGTATCTTTCTTTTTCAATTCAGTTGATCTGGGCGAAGTTTTGCTGCCTGACATTTTCAAAAACGTGAATATGTATGCCTTTATGAATTTAAATGGCACAATCACTCAAACAAAGTTGTTGTCTGATGGAAATGTGAAAAATAAGGGCTTGTCAGTGGATCAGATAAACAACGTCCTGTACAATTCTGAAGATGACGAAAATTCTACAAATCAAACGTGTTCAAAGTTTGACAACGAATTGTTCATTTCTTTATCGAAATCGCTCTTTTACACACCTACGAGCTCGTTAGTAACAAGAAATCTTACCGAGCCCCTTGATGAGTGTATCGCATCGTTTGGTAAACATCTTGGCCAAGAAGTGTGCTCACCGATGAGTTTCAGAATTACAAGTCTATCCGATATATTTGAAGAATCTACGCGAGGGCCATTAGCTGTTGGACTAGAATTGGAAAAAAACGAGTTGACAGGTCGAGAATTCATACTCATGACACCGGATGGCCTCTCGCGGAACGGGGCATCTGAGTCGTCGGAACAGCTAGACTTTGTGTCTTTTTTAAATTTCAATAACATGGGTATTGGAAGCACAATTGAGTGTGCTATAACCGAAGACTCTTGGGTGTTAATTGTAGACAATGAAGCTACCTGGAAAATTCCGATTGGCGCAGAAAGGACCCACGTGAATATTTCATTAGATCTCTCTTTCCGAGCATGCGAAGTGGCAGTAAAGTACAAGAAGCAAGTAGCCCATAATTTATTTGTCCCTGAAGATTTAGGACCTTTGAGGTTCCATTCAAAGCACGGTAGGAATTGTTCATTGGATGATTATAGCTTGACAGCGTGCCGACCAGACGCATCAAGTGAGTTTAGTGATGCGATTTTGATGACAAATCGAAGATTAGCAGACAACGAAGTTTTCGAAATAAGAATTGACTCGCTTTTACCACAGTGGTCTGGTTCTCTGGAAATTGGTCTCACTCCTCAGGATCCAGAAAAAATGACGTTTCCCAAAACTATGACACAGATATACCAGTCAATTTGGATGATATCGGGATCGGCTGTCGTACATAACGGCGACACGATTTGGAACGATTACAATTGCGACTTCGATAAGTTGGCCGAGGGTGCCACGGTTGGAATTATGAGATCTGGGGATGGAGAAATGCATGTTTTCTTAAACGGGAAAGATTTAGGAGTTGCTTGTGTTAATGTACCACCGGGATGTTTTGCTATCTGCGATCTCTATGGGCAGTGTAACAAAGTTACAATTTTGCATCCAGACAAGGGACCAATTAATCAAAATGAATTGGAGCGATCGCTTGAAAATCCAATAATTGAATTCCAATCGCATAATTTTGTGCCATCCTGTGGCTTCGAATTTAACTCGGACAGGACCCTTGTTTCTGTTTACGAACGAGAAAGAGAAACTAATAGGCATAAAAATTTACTCTTCAGTTCTCTTAGTATAAACGACTGCAGGTTATTCACTATCAGGATTCACTTGAAAGCAGATGTCAAAAATTTATTTGAGTCTGACTTCAAAATAGGAGTTACTAATTTCGACCCCCTGCTGAGCGGACTAACATTCTCCGAAGTTGTCAAAAACTGGTTTTCTTGTTATTGGAACAAAAATAGTGTGTTCATCAATGGAGATATCGCGAGACAAAATTACAGCCCGCATTTAGACAGTTTGGTTGCTCATAAAGCGGAATTTAGTGTCTGCTATTCGATCGAAAATAAGATTTCGTTTGCATGGAACAAGTTTGTTTTCGCTGAAATAAGCGAACCGATTAATGAAAACTGCTACGTGTTCATTGATGTCTCAGACTGTAGAATTGCGTCTATTGAAGCTATATCTAGATCTGCCAAAAAGCATCTGAGCTCGAAACTGTCTGTAAAGAATAGTCGACGTTTGAGGACAGTGATTTCAAAGCCGGTGCGTGGTTTTAATGTCGAGGAGTGTGAGCAGGGATTCGTTTCCAACCCCAATGTTGTCATCAGCAACGATCATAAAAGCTGTATCAAAATTGAAAGTCGTGCTAGCGCTCTCGTGACGTGTAATAAGACATTAGAACAAAGTCATTTGATAGTGTTTCAAGTTGAAACAGTTGACTTCCGTTTAAAGAATAACTTCGCAATTGGCGTGATACAAGACTTGGAACAGAAACCTGCAATCAGAGACATTGAGAAACAATGGAAAAAACAAGGTGCTCTGGTGGCGACTTACGGAACCTTTGTCGATGGAAACTGTACTAACCGGGACCTGTATTTGCGGGAAAGCTGGTTAAAGAAGGGAGGTGTGCTTGGACTTTACCTGGATTCCAAGGATAATCTGAGCCTAATTGTGAATAACAAAGTAATGGGTGTAGTTTTGGCCGGAGTCAAGGTTCCTTGCACAGTAGTGCTTCAGTTAGATGGATTCGTAACAGGAGTTAAAATGATAAGTGATGACATGCGTGAGCCAGAAGGCGAATCATTGACTCAGTCCTGCTCGGTTAAAGATTTCAACGAAGGTCAAAAAGAGCTGAAGTCTGATAAGTTCATCGCAAACTGCGGGTACCTCCGAATATGCGCAGAAGTTTTAAAGATTCTTCGAGTTCCCTCAAAGTTTTACCTCAATGCAGGCAAGAAGCCATGTTGCTACTGTTCATCGTGTAGCAAGTTGAGATCAACTGAAGCGTGTTTCAAACAAGGTGAACCACCAAAACCATTTACGCTTCCAACAGGATGGTGTAAATTCAACCTTCTCAACAAGTCGCCCAAAGGTCTCAAACCTAACAAATCTACATGGCACATTGCCTATCACTGCCCACAAGTTGAATGTCTCCGTAAAATTCTAGATTCGACTGAACTTAAATTGCCGAAAGGTGATATAAACTTTGCGAAATCTTTTCCCTTAGCAGATTTTGGTGACCAGAAACTTCGAGAGAAGTTCGAGAGCATGATCATGTTGTCTCCCACAGTTAAATATTGTTCTCAAACGGCATTTTGTCGTGAATTGAAATTCAAACTGGGTGAAAGGGGAGAGAGTTATAAGGTCAAAGTGGCTCTGCAAGTTTGGATCAAACCGGACTCATATACAACTAGCATTCCTCCGGATCCGACGCTTGTCTTCGACGAAGATATCCCACTGACGGAACACGAATGGATGACTAAGGAAAAGAATGCGACTTTTGTTTCGGCTCTGTTGATCAAAGCCGAACTGTATCAGTCCTCATCTTAGAATAATGCGCATTATTATCATTAGTTAGATGCCAGAGTTTATGCTAAACTTGAATTTCGTATATTGTAATAAACTTTGTTACTAACGAATCAAAAAAATAAATCTTGTAAAAAGCTATTTTCATCATAATCTTGCCTATTTTTGCAGTCGCGGGCCGAATTTATAGAATTAGCACTGAATGAAAATTAACATACAAATTGTTCAGCTAAGATAAGAACTATTGTAAATTTGCATTGCCACTGTAAAAGTGAGTTATTAACAAATGTTTCAATTTTCAGATCCACGTGATATCTAAAATGGGAGCTGCTGAATACATGAAGCTTTTGTGGCGCAAGAAGCAGAGTGAGACTATGCGCTACATTCTGAGAATGAGAGCCTGGCAGTACAGACAATTGAAGGCAGTCCACCGAGTGCCCCACTCCTCCCGCCCAGACAAGGCCAGGATGTTGGGCTACAGAGCGAAGCAAGGTTTCGTCATCTACCGGTCCAGAGTGCGAAGGGGAGGTTTCGTCAGACATGTAGCTAAAGGGCAGACAATGGGCAAGCCTACAAACGCTGGAGTGCACGAGCTTAAACTAGCCAAGAGTAACCAGGTGTGCAATGTCTTACCTTCTCGGTTTTTTGATTTGATTGCTATTTTATGTGGAAATGTTCTGTTTTAGTTCATATTGATTTAGAGAATGAATTTTTTTTATTGTTTTTTGTCTATATTGTTTCATTGCGTTCAGTTTGAGTTTTGCTTATTTGATTGAAATCCGCTTTATTTTGCTTCAGTCCATTGCTGAGAAGCGAGCTGGCAAATATGCTGGAGCTCTGCGGGTGCTCAACTCATACTGGGTTGGAACTGACGGTATGTACAAGTATTATGAGGTCATCATGGTCGACCCCATGCATCCGTCCATCCGAAAAGACCCCAAGATCAACTGGATTGTGAGCGCGAAGCACAAGCACCGAGAGTGCCGAGGACTTACCAGCGCTACCAAGAAGTCCAGAGGACTGGGCAAGGGTATCGGACACTCGAAGACTATCGGAGGATCGAGAAGGGGCAACTGGAAAAGGAGAAATACTCTACAGATGCGACGATACAGATAGACTACAACTACATCCCAGTGGATGCTGTTTGTGTCGATTATTGGTGTTCATTTATTGCTTCTGGTTTTATTGCAATAAAGTGAATTAATTATCCGCAAACAATTTTTTTAAGTTTTCTTTAGTAAAACCCAAGTGATTAGTAGAGCCCAATTTCTAATTGGCGAGATTTGGAGGGGTGTTCTGTGAATTGTAGTAGTTGAAAATTCAATTTAGAATAATACTTTCCCCTCAAAAGTTGCTCTTTGTCCGACCATTTGAAAAATGGGGATGAAGTTTGTATTCGGGTGCATTTTAGTTTTTTGTTTTCCGCGCAAAATCAGGTAACACAAATGATCATCTAAGCGAGTTGAATAATATATATCATTTTAAAGCCCTTTCAGTCGTGATTGGAACGACATTTAAAAACTTCCAAAACATTTCCCCAGGGTCGAGAAAAAACGGTCTAAATTTCTCATTTTTCGTTTAATTTCGAGCAACGAAGTATGTGAGCGAGCAGGCTTACAATAGCTTATTTTAATAGCTTAAAAGCTTATATTATTTCAATTTAAGCCGTAAAACCTTAATTTTATTCAAATAAAGTTAGTTTTTTTTTTGATTTTTTAGCGCCTTTTTTGATTTTTTAGCGCCTTTTTGGAATTTCAAGAACTTTTTGAATTGGAGGGGCTTTTTAGTCATTTTTTTGGTTAGTATTTTTTGACAAATTATTTTTCCAAAAAGCTTATTTTACTATGACTATAAAATATTGCTAAGCAGTAGTTTTTCGTTCAGATCATTTGAAAAAACGACACTAATTTGAAAACAAAAATTGTATTTTGAAGACTGGTCAGAACATTCTGTGCTACTTACACAGTAACCGGCTATGCTTGTTTTATTCTGGCTTTCCATTACTCTTCTAAGTTTGCTATGCTATACAAACAAAACAAAAACTTCGTGGTCGCGTTGCAAGCCACCAATTGCATCATCATGATGAATTACTAAGTAGACGTATGTTGGCAAGTATTTATGCTGTGCTGCTGCACCTGTTTTCAATCAATGTACAGTGAACACCATTAGTTTTTACCGCGTTCAAAACACGTTGAAAACAAAACGATCGGTCTGAAAAATTTGAGCACGTGCGTTTGAATCAAGTAGCATTGTAGCAGAACAGCATTAAAGCGATATTCACATAGAGGAAATTCGGAACTACTTGCCTTCCTTGAGTTATACTGACTGAGTATATCATCCCTGTAAAATGTTAGTACTTTTTTTCTTTTTTCTTCCCAAGTTAAAAATAAGGTCGTAGAATTTGAAAATCATGAGCCGTTCTTGTTTTGTTGGATTATTTGTTAGTCTGAAGATCGAATAAAAAAACTAGGTCACCGTTGCTTTATTCATTTTCTTTCTAGGTCTGACAATGGGAACGACCAAAACCCGGATATATCCGGTGACAACTTCGATCTCGAGACAAATGAAGTCGTTGACGATTTCGGAGACGACTTTCTAAATGATGATGAAAACGATCTAGAAAATGGCGGAGACGAAGATGAGGGAGGGGCAGCCGACGGTGGGGACTCTGACGGTGAGTCGGAAATGGTTGTTCTGGATCCGGATCACCCGCTTATGGCACGATTCCAGGCCGCACTGAATAAGCAGTTGACGAAACAACAGGAAAAAGTGACGCTTGAGTATCGTGAACTTGACGAGGCTCTAAGAGCGCGCAAGAAGGAGCGAGAAGAAATCGGTATTCAACTGTACAGTTTGCAACAGGAGCTAGCGAGACAGCAGATGTCTCTTGAGGCGAAACATGATCAGTACAATAAGGCTCACCAGGAGAAACTTCAAATCGAGCATGCTCTAAAAGAGGCCCAAGACAATTATCGTGAAACGCAGAAGAATCTGCAACTGCAACAGAAAAAAGCAGGGGAACTTCAGCAGGATTTGGACAAATCGAGCATCAAATTGTTTTACTTGAATAAAAACAAAGAGGATGTTCGGGGCGATATTGCGGTTATGAAGAGGGCTGCTGAAAAAGCCGAAAAGGACGCCGGAGACCTGGAAACCGAAAAGCAGAAACAAGATCTTTTCGTCGATAGACTTGTGGAAACCCTAGACAAACTCAGAGAACAAGTAGCCTTGTACGAAGCCCAGTATCAAGCACAGCTCGAAGAAACCAAGGCTGCAAAAGAGGCGTTGACCGATGCTCAGATGGAAATTGAATCGATCAATCTGGAGAAGAAGCAACTTTACCAGCAGTGGAACTCCAGCTTGATTGGCATGCGAAGGCGAGACGAAGCTCACGCCGCTCTAGTCGAAGCAATTGAACAGCAAAAACAAAGGCTATTAACTTTGGACCAAGAAATTGAAGCATACAAAAAGTCGATTGCCAAGTCTCAAGAAGAAAACGAAAAGCTAACGTTGATTTCAAACCAAAGAGACACTGAACTAGCGACAATTAAAAAGCAATTGCAAATAGCGCAAAACAAATTCGAAGCTCTAAAACATCAATATGCAACATACCAAAGGACTCTACAAGAAACTGAAACTCAGTTAGACAAAGCACAGAATGAGCAGAAAATTGAACAAAACGAAATCGAAGTTTTGAGGAAAAATATTGAGAAAGAAAATCAGGAAAAGATGAAAGTTGAGGAGCAAATTGAAGAAACTCTGCGAAGTCAGTTGACGATGGAAAAAGCTAAACAGTATACGAAGAAACTTACCAACAAGCTAAAAGAGAAGGCGCACGAAATGGCTAATCAAGTCTCCAATATTGAAAACGAAATAGCGCGAGATACTTTGACAATGACTAACTTAGCTGGCAGGCTAAAACGCCTAGAGCAAACGGTAACAGATTTGAACTCAGATATTTCCAAGAAACATGAAATTGCCGAGAAAAGCGAGGCAGAAATTCATAAAAGAAACGCCGTTATCGAAAGAAAGCAGGGACAGATAGACCAGCTGAACAAAAAAATTGATCAGCTCAAGTTAGAAAGAGGCGGAGAAGAAATCAGTCCTCAAGAGTTCGAGATCAAGTCACTGAACAAAGCTATCAATCTGAAAAACCAAGAAATCACTGGAATGCAACAGTTTTGGCTGAAAGAGCAAACAGAGTTAGTGAAATTGTCGCAAGCTCGCGATTTGCAAACGCAGAACGTCGATTTGTTGAAAAAGCAACTGCTGGTCTTAGAACAGCGCAAACTGAGGAAAGAAAACGAGATTTCAGGCGAGGAAAAAGAAATCGGAGAGCTGGAGCGACGCATTGGACAACTGCAGAAAGACATGGTGAAGCTGAACGTACTTGTAAATGACAACAAAAAGACGGAATACGATTTGGAGAAAGAAAATGAGCTGGCAAATAAGGAGTTCAGAGCCACTTTGCAGGACTTGATGGGCCAAAGTCAAGAAATGCAAAACACAGTTGACTCTCAGCAGGAAGAAAAGGAGCGATTGTTGAACAGTTTGGTCGAGGCGGAACGACAAATTATGCTCTGGGAGAAGAAAACCCAGATTTTGAGAGAGACGCGAGCGGCCGTTGACAGCGAGGCTGGTCAAGGGGAAATCAAACAAATGAAGTCTGAGATTCATCGAATGGAGGTTCGATTCGCGCAGTTGCTGAGACAACAGGAAAATATGATTCAAGATATGGAAAAGGCAGTGTCGAGACGAGATACTATTGTAACTAGAGGCGAGGCACTTCAGAAAATGAAGAGACCAGTTGTAACTGAAGGGCAAATGCAAAAACAGATGATTGAGACGAAGAAGAAGATTAAACAGTCATTACAAGACGCGGACAAAGCTGATGCTGAGATCAACCAACTGCGGTCGGAGCAAGTAGAGCTCCAAAATGCGCTCAGTGAGAAGCGCCAGAGCTTGGAAATGATGCAAGAACAGTCCTCGGAATTGGACGCCGAGTATGAAAAATTACTCGAAGACAGGCAGAGAAATATGGCCGATTTGTTGGCCCTTCAGCAGAAATCGAAGAACTTCGAAGCTCTGAAAAACGGCAAGTATGCTATGCTGTGCAAAACGGAAGCTGGTTTGAATGCAGAGACACAAAAACAGACGGATAAATTCCACAAACTGACGAGTATTGTAGATCGACTGAATAATGAGCAGCCTCACTTGCAGCCATCTCTCAGAAGAGTCACGCTCAGTTTGGGATCGAGAGGGCTACAGGAAGATTAAATTGGCGACGAAACCGGCAAATTACCACATTTATTTTTTGTTTTTTAATTCGATGAGTTTCGTATTATAAATTTGAAATTAAAAATTATTGTCTTAAAAGTACTGCGAAAAGATGAATCGAGCTGACTGATTTTTTTCAGAAAAGTAATTTTCATAAAAACGGCTATAGATTATGCTATTTTATAAGTGCTTTATTTTGTTCCGAACACCCCTCTGAAAGTGATGAACTACGCATTAGCTTGTTTTTCACCGAACGATTTTCATTGATTCAAAGGAATCCATTGTGGTATCCATATTAATGCACTAAATTTTTTATTTAGAACTAGCGCATGACTCGCCATAAGGTGCTTCAAATATATTGTTGAACTTAAAAATAGCTTCTTAAACATGTACTAAAAGGGCGATATTTTAGTGACCTTAATGCAATCGTGAAGATAACCTAAACTCATCTATCAGGGGTTTGTACTTTATATAAAAAAATGCCATATCTTAAAAACCCAAATGATTTGAGGGAGCAGCGTATTGTAATATTACGAAACTTCTTTTTTTCTAACCTAAGTTGCAAATACTGGTGCCCATTTTGGGGTACCTTTACAGTTTTTTGATAGCTCGTGCTTTGACATTCGAATAGTAATAGGTTAACAGAGTTAATGTATTTTTAATTTATCAAATGAACCGAAAAAAGCTTTTTGTTCAAACAACATAACAAATATAAAAACTCGATTCAAGAAATTTTCTAGCTCAATACATCTCGCAATTTTTTTGAAATGCTTACTTTATACGTAGTGTGGCTTTATGCTTTCCGATTAATTACATGCAAAGTTAGTGTGGTCAGATTTGCAATGCTGATGTGTAACTGACAGGAATCCGCTTTAAAGTTGAGAATTTGAAGTTCTGTCAGTGTCTATCTACATTTTTTGAAATAAAAATGAAAAAGTAATAAAAAAAGCCACATCTCGGAAATTAAAGGAATTTGAGCAGTCACATTTGGAGAGAAAGTTTGCAGCACCTGATTGTACCCTGACAGCACCCCACTATAGGGTTGAGAATTTACCAATTGTTGTTTATTCCTAAATTTCCTAAAGGTGTCTAATTGGAAGAAACATTGTTCACTTCAACACTTTGTTATCTTTCAGAAAAGTAGCTTTACAACCTGGAGACAAAGTCCTCTGAAGTTTAAGTTCATCAAAGAGAATTTTGTTATCGCAGGTATCGAACGCTTTCCTCAAATCAACAAAAGAAACCCAATATATTTTTCAAACCAACCAATTCTTAGTTGATTCTACTAGAGGATCTACCGTCGCAAGTTTCTCCCGGAAACCAAATTGTTAACAAAAGAGCAAATTGATTCTATTGAAATAGTTGTATAACCTGGGTTTTTAACCTTTTCAAAAACTTTACCTAATGATTGAAAAGAGCAGTTTGGCGGTAGTTGCTAAGATTTAATTTGCTTTCTCCGTTATGAAGTGGTAGAGTTTTGGCAAATTTAAAACGTTTGGATATTTACCGGATTTGAAAGGAAAGTTTACTAAGTAAAATAGATATGAGGTTATAACAACAGAAGACGCTTTTAGAATTTTCCAAACTAAATTTGTCTATAACTGACATGGAATTAATGAGAATTAACATGGGGTGTTATCTGCAATCCCTGTTCCCACAGCTGTGAATTGCTCATTAAAAGAGTTAACTATTGCAGTTGGGTCGCTTATCTTTTTTTCCGTCTACAACTACACTTGGAACGCCATAAGTTTTTGGGCGTTTAACTGTTTTTTTTTATTTAATATTTTGTCTCGAGTCCAGAAATCAATTCATGAACTTTTTGCTCGACAAACGATCTTGTTAACTTTGTTTCGTTTATACAGGACTTTCGATTTGTTTTGTACTATTTTCTTAATCAAACATCTAAAGCTTATATAATTTATTTCGTGAAAACTGTCTTTCGTATAGGCTTGCTAAAATAGTCCGCATTTGATTTAGGGAAAAGCTTCAATTTCTGCATTGGTGCAACCTATGAAAAGACATAAAAAAAAGTGTAATCATTTTAAAAAAACTGGTTTGATTTTCTCTCTCTCAATTCAATCCTTTAGCAATTTCAACAATTTAGCTGTTGTGATCTCGAGGAGTTGCAGCTTTTTACCGATTTCAATTGCACTTTTCAAAGAAAAAAAACTAAGAAAATTTGGATTTTGAAATTTTTGAGTTGCTCAGTTTCAGTTGCTGTAGTCGGAGCATTCTGTGCTACTCGATCAGCAGTCTGCTATGCCTAGTTTCCTGGTTTTCGAGTTTCTTTACTTCAATTTTGTGGTCGGAGTTTTCTGTGCTACTTGCTAGTTTTTGTGGATTTTGTTTTGTTATGCTTTGTTGATTCATTTGCTTGTAATTATAGTGTTTTCCCGTGCTCTGATAGCGTAGAGGAGGTGGTAGAGACTCGTTTGTTTTAAATAGATAGTTCCAGACTCGGAAAATGTTTTCCCCTTCTGGCTAAAGTCTTTCGACTTGTGTTATATTGGTTTAGTTGCCTCATGGTTTGATGCGGTTTTGATTCGGTGGGGGTGTAAAGTATAGTTAAAGTTTTCATAGCTCAAAATTCATCATAGTCTTTTAGGCTCTGTGGTCTTTCATCCGAGTAAAATTGTAATCTATTAGATGTTTAAATGCGGGCTTTGCTATCTCGCCATGCTTAGGCTTTTTCAGCTTATTGTTTTTGCATGTTTAGCGAAAGAATTTTTTCACGCTTAAGCTAAATCGTATCTTGCAACGGTTAAGATTATTTTCTCTAATTTTCCCGTTTGATTTCAAGGACTATTTCGTCAATTTTGAAGATAGAAACCCAGTAGTGAGATACTGTCAGAGTTCCCCCAGGGCTTGCGGATATGGCCTCCAATGTTGAACACCAAAATCCTTTTAGCTTACGAGATACGACGATTTTTTTTTGGATTTTTCGAAAATCGTCTGAAATATTAATGTCAAAAATAATCACAAAAAGTGATTTTCTCAACCCTGTAATTGATTGCTGTCAAGGTATTTTCAGGAATTGCAACCGTTGCCTTAAAATATGACTGCTCAAATCCTTGTAGCTTTCGAGATATGATGTGTTTCATGATTTCTTTTTCGTTTTTAAGAACTTAGATTTCAAGAATTCAAAAGAGTTGAAATTCCTAGCCTTGTAGGTGGGTACTGCTTCTATGCTCTCACGAGTTCCAAGCTGAAAATCTTGCATCCCAATGCGACTGCTCAAATAGTCTAAGTTTCCGAGATGTGACTTGTTTTTCTGTCTTTTTTAAAATTGTTCAAAGAGCTTAGATATAAAAATTTTTCACAAAATTTGATCTTCACGTCTCTATAGTGAGGCTATTCAAGTTTCAAGATATTTGTAGTAGTTGTGAATTCTGTTTCCAATTATAGTTGTTTAAATCCTTGTAGTTTTCGAGAAATGAAGTTTTTTGTGATTTTTTCATAAACAATTTTCAGATAACTCAAATTTAGTTTTGTTTTCAAATTTCGAAAGTCCCAACCCTGTTGTTCGGGGCTGTCATAATACCATCAGGGGTTGCGAATCTTGTCTCCAAATATGACTGCTCGAATCTTTTTTTTTTGAGATATGTGGTTTTTCTGTTTTTTTTTTTTCAAAAAATTTTTTTTAGAAAATTTATTTTTGAAGTTTCTTAAAATTTGAAATTCCCAACTTTGTAATTGGGTACTGTGAGATTACCCTCAAGACTTGCAAATCTTGGCTTCAAATGTGGCCGCTCAATCTTGCATCCAAATGCGATTGCTCAAATAGTCTTAGTTTCCGAGATGTGACCTTTTTTTCTGTCTTTTTTTTAAAATTGTTCAAAGAGCTTAGATATAAAAAATTTTCGCAAAATTTGATCATAACGTCTCTATAGTGAGGCTATTCAAGTTTTAAGATATTTCCAGGAGTTGTGAATTTTGTTTCCAGTTATAGTTGTTTAAGTCCTTGTAGTTTTCGAGAAATGAAGTTTTTTGTGTTTTTTTTTTCATAAATAATTTTCAGATAACTTAAAATTATTTTTGTTTTCAAATTTCGAAAGTCCCAACCCTCTAGGTCGGGGCTGTCATAATACCATCAGGGGTTGCGAATCTTGTCTCCGAATATGACTGCTCTAATCTTTTTTTTTGAGATATTGGGTTTTTTTCTGTTTTTTTTCTAAAATTTTTTTTAGAAAATTTATTTTTGAAGTTTCTTAAAATTTGAAATTCCCAACTTTGTAATTGGGTACTGTGAGATTACCCTCAAGAATTGCAAATCTTGCGTTCAAATGCGGCTGCTCAATGGCTTTTGATTTCCGAGATGTGAAGGTTTTTATGTCGTTTTAAAATTTTTCAAAGAACTTATATTTATAAAGCTTCACAAAATTGTACGGTTTTTCAAAGTTTGAATTAAAGAAACTTGAATAAGAAAAAACTTGCAAAATTTGAAATAACCAACACTGTAATTGGGTTCTCTCAGAGTACACTCAAAGGATGCAGATTTTATTTCCAATATCTGCGTTTTTTTTTGAGTTGTTAAAGTTTCGAAACACCGAAAGTGCGTTACACGCTAGTACCTATTTAATCTCGACAATTGAGTTCCTTGATGTGTTTTTCTTCACCCGAGACAAGCGTTATAAAAATGGCTGATATTATTTTTGATATTTTTGAATTTGTTTTTCGAATCATTGTTTTTCATCCTTTTTCATTTCAGCAACCGTAGTTCCAGGGGGGACTTGAAACTTGAAAAGTTTTTTTTTTCTATAAAATCAGTTTTTTTTGGCTCAAATGGTGTCTGCTCAAAGATTGTCGGCTTTGTTTCCGCTTCGTACGTTTTGTTCAGTCGCAAATTTGAATTTCAAATGTCTTGCTTGGCATTTTTGCCCAGAGTTTCTGTTCGGATAAAACAGGTATTATGAAAGTGTATGGTATTGGGTTTTTTTTATAGAAGCTTTGGAAAATTTTAGTTTCTCAAAAACTTCACCGATTTCAGAAAAGGGGTTTCCAGAGAAAGACCTCCTACAGTATTGTGTGCCTGCATTCTACCCTAGTCTTCTTTCGCTTTACCCCTTTGCCTACAGCCTTCGAAAAAGTCTGTGGGGTGAATATTTGACCGAGTTTTTTTTTTCGTGTTCTCAGAAACTAA